TCCATTTTTTTGTGTCTTCTTTGATTTCTTTCAACAATGTTTTATAGTTTTCAGTGTACAGATGTTTCACCTCTTTGGTTAAATTTATCCCTCGGTATTTTATTCTTTTTGTTGCAATTGTAAATGCGATTGTATTCTTAATTTCTCTTTCTGCTACTTTGTTGTTAGTGTATAGAAACGCAACTGATTTTTGTGTGTTGATTTTGTATCCCGCAACTTGACTGTATGCCTTTATTGCTTCTAAAAGTTTTTTAGTGGAATCTTTAGGGTTTTCTAGATATAAAATCATGTCGTCTGCAAAGAGTTACTTGAATGTAAGACCTGAAACCATGAAACTTCTAGAAGAAAACATACACAGGATGCTCTTTGACATGGGTCTGAGCAGCATATTTTCAAGTACCATGTCTGACCGGGCAAGGGAAACAAAAGAAAAAATGAACAAAAGGGACTACATCAAACTAAAAAGTTTCTGCACAGCAAAGAAAACCATCAAAAAAATGAAAAGACAACCTAACAATTGGGAGAAGATATTTGCAAACCAGATATCAGATAAGGGGTTAATATCTAAATTATACAAAGAACTCATACAGCTCAACAACAACAAAAACCCAGCAATCCAATTAGAAAATGGGCAAAAGATCTGAACAGAGATTTCTCCAAAGAGGATACACAGATGGCCAACAGGCATATGAAAAGATGCTCAACATCATTAGCTATCAGGGAAATGCAAATCAAAACTACAATGAGGTATCACCTCACTCTGGTCAGAATGGCTATAATTAACAAGACAGGAAACAACAAGTGTTGGAGAGGATGTGGAGAGAAGGGAACCCTTGTACACTGCTGGTGGGAGTGCAAACTGGTGCAACCGCTATGGAAAGCAGTATGGAGTATCCTCAGAAAATTAAGGATAAATCTACCATATGATCCAGCCATCCCACTGCTGAGTATTTATCCAAAGAACTTGAAAATGCAAAGGCATAAAGATACATGCACCCCTATGTTCATTGCAGCATTATATACAATAGCCAAGACTTGGAAGCAACCTAGGTGCCCATCAAGGGATGAATGGATAAAGAAGATGTGGTATTTATACCTGATGGACTACTACTCAGCCATAAGAAATGACGAAATCTGGCCATTTGTGACAACATGGATGGACCTTGAGGGTATTATGCTGAGTGAACTAAGTCCAAGGGAGAAAGTCAAATACCATATGATCTCACTCATAAGTAGAAGGTAAAAACAATGACAAACAAACACATAGCATTGGAGATTGGATTGGTGGTTACCACGGGGGGAGGAAGGAGGGCAAAAGGGGTGATTAGGCTCACATGTGAGGGGATGGACTATAATTAGTTTTCGGGAGGTGAACATGATGTAATGTACACAGAATTTGAAATATATTATGATGTACATCCGAAAATAAACAATAAATGAGAAAAAAATTTCTTCTGTGTTTTCCCTCTCTACTTTTCCACTTAGAGCTTAATTATAAAATATTAAACTGTTTGATAGTAACCCGTATGTCTCTTGTGCTTTGTGGATTTTGTAATAATAATAATAATGATGATTGTATTATCTTTAGTAGTAGTAGTAGCAGTAGCAGTAGCATCTCTATGTTTCATTTTGGGTAGTTTATTGATCTACATTTCAGTTTACTTACCACTTCTTTTACTGGATCTGGTATTCACTTAAGCTAATCAAAAGACTTCTTAACTTCAATTCGAATATCCATTTTTAATGCATTCAATTTCTCTGTTGAAATTCTTCATCTTTTCCATCTTTTTCTCTCATTTATGTAAAGTATCTATAATAGTTGTGTAATCCTCATCTGATAATTCCAACACCTCTATCACCTATAGCTCTGCTTCTATTTAAATGTTAAATCCTCTATTAAGGATCACATTTTCTTGCTTCTTCACTTGTCACAAAATTTTTATCGTATTTTCAGCATACTAAAGAGTGTTGTCTACCTCATTCCTCTGTCAAGCAGCCAAGTGGAGGAGCTCATCTCCAAGATCCAATCAATATTTGAGCAGTGTCAACAGTATGTTGGAGCTTTAGTTGGTTTCAGTTCACTGTTGGCTTCAAACGCCTTGGGGGCTAGATCTGTCCTCTGCATGTTATAACCCCTCCATCTAGCATCCAGCAGGAATTCAAAACATAAGAACCTTGCAACTACAGATATTGCTCTATGCTTTCCAGTCTAGGTGCCAGCTGCCAATCCACTGTCATGCACTTAGTGGATATTCACTGGGGGATGGTCAGTGAGCAGGGAGAACGAGAACTACATTTTGAGATCCAGAGATTCCAAACCATCACCCTGCGCAAGAGGTTGTGAAAAATTATGCTAGGTTTTTCCTTTTCAAACAAAGTCACTCTGTCTATGCCAAGCCTGTTCCTCTAGTCACCATGAAGCTTGTCAGGTGTCTCCAGGGAATAAACTTCCTATTGATCTCTGCTCACGTCAGAAGGGCTCATTTCTTTCTGGAATTGAGTTTCTTTTTAGTTTGAATCCACAAATCTCCGATATCACTTAAACGTACTTGATTTTTTTATCACTTTATTTTTCTAGTTATTACAATGGGACACATTTTTTCTAACAACTCTCCACATCCTAACCAGAAGCCAAAAGTCCAATATTCATTTTTCAAATTTTTTTTACAAGTCTTTCTTGAACATCTCTCATCATAAAATTTTTGTTTTCTAGCCATCTCACTTCTAAGCTTCTCTTTATATTTTTTTCTTTTCTCAAATTGTGCATAATGCAACCAAACTCTAGGCTAAATTGTATAATTTAGATCGATCTTAGTTTGGTTTAAGCCTGTTTTTTTAATATTACAGAGAATACTTTCCTCTGAACCATTTGAGAGTAAGTTGATGACATGATGCCTCATTATCGCTGAATTTTTATTTATTTAATTAATTTTTTTATTGAGGTAACATAGGATTATAGCATCATATAAACTTTAGGTGTACATCACTATATTTTGACTTCTTCGTAGACTATATTGTGTTCACCACCCAAAGTCTAGTTGCCAATCTCTGAATTCTTTAGTGTGTGTCCTAAAAACGAGGACATTTTCCCACATAACCACAGTACAACCATTACAATCAGGAAATTTGCATTGATACATGACTGTCATGAAATCACAGACCCCCATACAAGTTTTGTCAATTTCCCCATAATGTCCATTATAGCAAAAGAATTCAATCCAGGCTCATAATATTGCATTCATTTGCCGTGTCTTTTAGTCTCCTCTACTCTGAAATAGTTTTAAAGTCTTTTCTTTATTTTCATGGCCTTCACACTTTTAACAATTATATGCTACTGTTTTGTAGAATGTCCCTCAAATTAGGTCTGCCTGATGTTTACTCATGATTAGATAGATTCAGGTTATGAATCTTTGGCAAAGCTATCACAGAAGTGATGCTGTCTTTTTTCAATGCAAGTGGTACATGACTTTCTTTCATTTCATTACTAGTGATGTTAACAGATGGCTATTAAAGTGATTTCTCTTCTATAAGTTATTCATTTTTCCTTTGTAACTAATAACTGTTGCTGGGGAGGGTCTTTGAGACTATGTTAGTATCCCATTGTTTTTCCACATTCACCAACTAGTTTTAGCATCCATTAGTGTTTCTCAACTGAATTAATTTATTTTTTATTTTTTTCCCTTCTCCCCAAAGCCCCCCAGTACATGGTTGTATATTTTAGTTGTGGGTCCTCCTAGTTGTGGTATGTGGGACACTGCCTCAGCATGGCTTGATGAGTGGTACCAGGTCCGCACCCAGGATCCAAACCAGGGAAACCCTGGGCCACTGAAGCTGACCATGCAAACTTAACCACTGGGCCATGGGGCCAGGCCCTGAATTAATTCTTATCATTATTGTTGCCAGATGGTGATTTTCCAATCCCAACATTATCTTTGTGTTTATTAGTTGGCATTCTACTGTAAGGAAAATCTTGCTCTTCTTTCTATTTATTTGATTATATAAGTGCAAACTCATGATTCCTATTTGTTCAATGAATTATAATTTGTTACTATCACACAAATTTTCATGTTCAGATTTGACCAGTGAGAGTCTTTTCAAGCTTCATTCTGTGTCCTTTCAACATTCTCCATCATTCTTTGAATATTTCCTTATTTCTGCCACAATCAAATGTTCCAAGCTCATTTTGTGCTTTCCCTTCAAGAAGCCCTACTTCTTCTTAGTGGGAAAAGATATTTAGAAACCAAAATCTGAGTACTAGGTATGTACATTGTTGTTGGGGTACCAATGTTTCGAGGTCCTCTCCATGATCAAAGCTAGAGAATATATGTGTGTTTTTTTTTCTCTCTCTCTCTCTCACACACACACACACAGACACACACTTGCATCTAGAATTCATTCTAGGTTTTCCTCTTTTCATATTTATAAGTCCCTTCCACAATAATTAGAATTTGGGCTCCTATTATACTCAATACATTTCTTATTTTTTCAGTCCCCTCCGTACATAACCAAATTCCCATTGCCACCAACTTGCCCCACTTGGGGTCCAACATCCCACTTCAGGCCACTGCCATTGCTATTCCCACGTGCAAACACCCTCTTCACATCACAGTCTTCGAATTCTTTTCTGGGTCACCACTCACCCCATTTGAATTCCAATACTTCTCATCAAGCTGCCACTGCTTTCCTCCACATAAGTTGCCCTCCTCACACTGCTTCGACTCTAAAACCAACACTAGACCGTGTGTCACCCTCCTCAGTCCACTCAGTCATCATCAACCCATGCTCATCCACTTCTACCACTACCTCACTCTGCACAGACACTTTCCTCACCATAGTCAGACTCTGACAATCTGCACCAAGGTGCGTGGATGTTGTCTTCACCTCACTTGGGCTTCCAATACCCTATGCTGGGCCTATACCCAGTAACCTCCTTCATGGAGACCTACCTCACTCAGCCAAAATGGCTTTTAGACTAAATTCTTAGAGAAGGAAGGAAAAAAGCAAGCTGAATGGTTTTTATTTTGATCTATGCTGCTTTTTCATAGTTTCTATCATTTCTCTCATTTCTTTTAGTTCCCTTTAAAATGTCACATTGAGTTTCTATCTATTTTGAAGCCATATTTTTGTGGTATTCTTTCATTTTCTATCAGTATGGTATTCAGTTCACTTTTCCTACAACATTAGCATATGGGTTCATCTGCAGTCCTCTTATGTCATACATGTTTAAAGTAAATGTGTTCTTTTGGGGCCGGCCCAGCGGTGCAGCGGTTAAGGTCGCACGTTCCTCTTCTCAGCAGCCCAGGGTTCACCAGTTCGGATCCCGGGTGTGGACACGGCACCGCTTGGCACGCCATGCTGTGGTAGGCATCCCACATATAAAGTAGAGGAAGATGGGCATGGATGTTAGTTCAGGGCCAGTCTTCCTCAGCAAAAAGAGGAGGATCGGCAGCAGTTAGCTCAGGGCTAATCTTCCTCAAAAAGAAAAAAAAAGTGTTCTTCCAGTGCTTAAGGAGATTCCTGTGTTGGGAATGGAAGTGGACCAGGAGAGCTTTCCTAGCTCCATCTCTTGAAGGTACTGAAACAGAAGTAGCTAAAAATGTTTTTCATCTCTATATAGCAACCTCTGTAGTGATTTCCAAGATTTCCTACCGCTTCTCCCCTCCCCAACCAATATTTGAACTTTCTCCTGTACCCTTAGTCTTTCTACTCTGCTCAATTTCATCTCTACCAATGGTTGCTTTCTTCCTCAGGACGGAGCTCTATTTTTACGGAAGGAATTCTAGTGGCATATTTCTATATTTCTGAGATCCTCAAGGGCTGAGGCCACCCTAGTGGACCCGATTTTTTCTATGGCACTTTCCTTTTGTAATCCTCATTGTTCTGCCTTTTTTATAAGATAATTTGTGGAGGTTCATAAATTACACAGCTCCCTCCAATTTGTTCCCAACTGAAAGACCGCAGTCCTACTTTAAAAGTCTTAAGCAAAGCTTTAAAGCCAACCCAAGAACCCTAAGGCAGGCAGCTGCAGCTTCCTGACTCACAGCCTCTTCCCAGTCGTGGTTCACAGTGTCCTTCCTGGGGGCTGTTTCCTCTGTCTGAGGGCCAGTGAGCAGTCTGCCCCAATGAGTCTGCAATAGAACTACAACTAAACATATACTGAAATCGTAAAAGAATACAATTAATTTTTGTTTATCCAGTTTTTCTTTGTCACCATTAGCAGCACCAATACAGCATAAATCAGGCAATCCACACATATGTGTGGAATACACACAAGGCACATTTTGAAACATTCAGCAGTTGTTTTAGAGGCCAGTCCATAAAAAACATGAGGTCAAATAGTAAGCCCCAGATCATATAATGCCTCCAGAGAGAGTACACTGAGATTATGGAGCCAGCCACCTGATATTCCATCCAACCATGACTTGTACAAAATTTGCAAACAGAACAAAAGTTTTGAGATGTGGTTTTCTGATATTTTGTCAATAATGAACACATTTCTACTGGATTTCTAGGATTTTGCACTTATGCAAAAGAAATCCTTTTTTCCTAATATTAATAATCCTACATGTTTATAGTTCCATACAGTTGGTTTTCCTCCTTTGATCAATTTTGCCAGTCTAGGTTCACCCCTAAGCAAGGATTCCTTACCCTGGAACAGTATTCTGGACCTGAATCTAGAATTACTGCACTTGTTCAGGGTCTGGCCTCCCTCATTGTTTCCTCTACTTCCCATTTGGTTTTCTTATTAAAATGTAAAGAACAGAGACGTACTTCAATTGGACCAAGAAAATTAGGAGTGATGGGGTATTGTAACATGGGGCAATGTAGGAGTCAGAATCTCATGGCAATCCAAGACAGAAAACATAATGGGACAGGCTAGAGAAGATTGGACCTAGAGGGCCAGACTGGATATGATGAAACTCTGGGGGTTTCGCCACAGTGGTTCATGAATCTTCACTTCAAGCTTAGCTACAAGATTGTGAGTCAGTCTCTACAAGTCAGTCTCCATTCATCTGTATCACTCAGTGTCTAGCTGCTACTCTTTCTGCTACCAGTTAACTTCTTCACCATCCACATTGCGTCTCTTCTCTAGTCTGAAGCTTTCCTCTTAGTTTCTTGCTTGGGACCATTCTAAGCACTAACACAGAGCAGTAATTCACCCACGAATCATTTCATTATTGGACCGTGCTAGCATCTCCATGCTATCCATATAAACTAATTATGGACAAATCAACCCTGAATGGAAGAATCTACCATATTTTCTACTTCTCAAGCTACTAAAGTATAATATCCGTCCTAACATGATACAATTTGGAGGCTATCCCAGCTCACATATATTGCAAATATTTAAAATTAATTTGTATATTAAAATATTTTGTTCTATTTATGCAACTATAATACAGCAGAAAGTAATAAGCAATCATAAGCCTGGATATTAGAAGGAATACTACTAAACCTAGTATAATATTATATATGTGTATTTAATTATATAACTAAAAACCAAATACAATAGTGTCTAGATTCTAACACATACGAAGGTTAATATGACAAAAAAAAATTTAACCTAAAGTGAGTGAAGAATAATTTGGGGATTAAGTTTTGCCATTTCAGAGCTTATTATTTTTGTTAGAAAAACTACAGTGAAGATCTGAAACTCTTATCTCTCCTTGACATTATCTGTTGCAGAGCTGGGCCAATAGATGAAAAACATTCAGCTTTCTATCAAAGAGTGCATTGAAGGCAAGGTAATATATAAATATTTTTGAGGACTAGGTGGTAGAGTATTTCTTATATGCAAGGAGATTAATTGGCCAACACTCAGCCAAGTGTCTATCCTGATTTACTTGGCCTTAGCCATGAGAACAAGATAAGATGATTAGAAACGTGGTGAGCTAAGGTTATGTGGTCAGGAGTAGCTGTGATTGGTACAGTTTCCCAAAATGGTGGAAGGCACTAAGACTCTGAGGTCTAGTACATTGACTATTCCTTTCACAGAAGTTAGAGTTTTCTAATTTCACATTAACTTTCTCAAGCCCCTACTTAACACGAGCCTTTTCTACTGTCCATCAAATACTTCGTCTACTCTCCTCCCAAATATTTCTCCTAAAAATCTCCTGTGATGTGTTGTTCCTACTTCTATCTAGTCTGCTTTCTCCTGATCTTCTCTCAGAAGCTCTACCAGAAAAATACTTTGCCCCCTTTCCAGAAACTTTACAACTCTGACTTTAGCCCAGGTTTAGCATCAGAACGTAAGGGCAGGTAAAGATTGCCAATAGGTATTAGGTAGCAAAGACAGGCAAATCCAACCAGAAAGCAGTGATGGGGTTTTTGTGGCCTATGGCTTTACACTTTCCTGTTATTAGAAGCACTGATGCGGAAGAGAAAGAGCTTCCATAGGTAGATCTGCTGGAACAGAGAGTTGGGCTTAGGTCTGAGAAAGTGTGAGATGATGTTGCCATTGGTAGCAGAAGGGCAAAGGTTACTGGGAGAGACGGTTTAAAATCTTAAGTAGATTCTGGATTGTCCTCCTTCGGTCTGCTTCGATATGGATGTATAAGATCCATACTGCTGTCGCCATCATTACACCTGTCTCCCGAATTACAGCAATACGTTTCTCTCACTAAGTCATGGAATAGCCGGACCATTCCCTCTTCACAAGCCCTACAAGATAGAGTTGAATAACGATAGAAATATCTCCCTAAAGAGGAAAAGAAAAGAAAGGTGATCACCTTGCTTAATCGCACCATCTTCCTAACAATGACTTCTTTCCAGACCCTCCTCATTTTTCTGTAGGCTGGAATGAGCCCCAAGGCTGTGTCTGCATCTCATCTATGTCTCTCTAGACAGGACCAGGCAAAAGACATCTGCCTCCCACACAGCCTCCACCCCACATCTGTGTATGGAGAATCCCGCTTTCCCCACCCTCTCCCGTGGTCCCAGTCTCCCCCCACACCATAAGCCTGGGACTGTGGGTACCACTGGTAATATTCCATGTCTTTCTCTGACCCCCACTTACCTGTAAGGCGATCATTAAAGTAAAAGTGATCTGTGGTACAAACCCTTTCATAATTCAATACATTAAACTTCCAGCAACGTCCCATGGAACTGAGGCATTTGTATCCATCATAGAGATCACATTTATGGCAATATCGAATCCCTAAAGAAAAAAAGGAAAACTTCAAAGCAGAGCTCTAGGGAAAGTGATTCTGCTGCAGAAGGCTGCCCCCACCTGTAAGTATTTATACTTGAGTGGCACAGTCCTCACAAGAAGGAAGTTGCCATACCTCCCAGCTTCTGCTAGGAGTCCTTACTCCTTGAATGGGTGATAGCTATGACCCTTCAAGGAGTCAAGGACCCCCCCCAGCCCCGCCCCGCGACTTCACCCAAGCCTGGGGGCAGACAGGAGACACTACAGCCGTGAGCGAGAAGAGTGAGGGAGGGCAGAGAGACAGCGTGTAAAGAAATCAAGAATATCCCCTCTCATAATGGCATTATTTATCCCAGAACTGCAAACCAACTACACCATACATTTCGATGTCAGGACTCTGTTGCCTGTGAAGAGAAGAAAAATTCTCCTTGAACCATTTTACAGCAGTCCCAAGAGTCAAGTTTAGCAACAGCCTCCCCTCCTCCCCATATGTTTTCTCCCCACCTATCATCGCCTCCCTCGCAGGCCTTACCCTCGTCCATGAAGAGCGCTGTGAATATGCCCAGCAGAAGCAGCCGGAACATCCTGGAGCCCATTCTTGAGAAGGTCCTGGTGGGATGTTCCAGCTTTATTTATTCCTATCACCTGCCCTCAGGCATCTCACTAGAATCACAGAATCATAAATTTCAGATCAAACCAACTGAATCCTCTCTACAACATTCCCAGAAGAGGGTACACCCTGTCTGTGTTTGCATTCCTCCAGCTTCTTAGAATTCAAGCCACCCAAACACTCATTTCATTTTATGAGATCTATCATAAGATAAGAATTAACATTGGTGTAGAAGCTCTCCCTGCTACCTCTTCACTTCGGTTGTATTTCAGATGTCTTTCAGATATAACAAAGCTGGGGTCACTGAGTACTTGTGAGTGAGTTGCTCAGTCCTTTTCAAGTACCATAACCATCCCAGGCACTTGCCTCAGCATGACCTCCAGTGGTACTACATCCCTCACACAGTAAGTCACCAGGATCAGAACCTAAGACTCCAGAGATGATCTGACTGCCCAGTGTAGCATCCCTCTGAAGGATGGATGGGACAGCCCAGGAAAAACAGGTGAGGAAGTGAAGCTGATCTCAGTTTCCCTCAAGGCTCAGTTATTAATTTTTTCGAGGGAGACAAAGATCATAAATTATTACAGTGGGACAGACTTACACTGGGTGTTATGGGGAAAAAGAGGAAGATATATTTGGATTAGACACTAGAAAGGGTGACTGGAGGGGAGGTAGAGAGGGCTGGAAATGAGTTTCCCACAGTTCCCCGCCTTGACCTTACTTCCTCCAGATGGTGACATATATTCGTGCCATCTCTCTTGCCTCCACTAAGTGGTATCCTATCTGGAAGCTTCTCCCAATATATTTATATCTGTGTGCAAAACTCCCTGACCGCACTGCTCATGCCCCTTCCCTGTCTGACTTTTCTCCAGAGGACTTAACCCGATTTGTCATTCCATAGCTTTTCCGTATTTATGTTTATTTTGTCTCTCTCCTCTCACAAGAACGAAAGCTCCAGGAGTGCAAGAGTTTCATGTGTTGTGTTCACTGCTTTCTCTTCAGCACCGAATGATGCCTTGCACATACCAGGTAACCAAAGACGTCTGATGGAAAAGGAATGGCATGGTTGGTGTGGTTTATCCTGAGAGGCACAAGGGAATGGTGCCTTTCTACTGACAGCCCCTTCTTGAAAGCTTGCAGGATGAAATTCCTGGCCTTAACCCTGCAGTCAGTAGTCACGACACAGAAGACAGGCAATGGTAATGGCAGATTCCCCTGTCATGGGGAGAGAGTGAATGTGGGGCCCATTTATCTGAGACTGCTCATTCCCAGAGCCAAACATATGCTCACCCTAGTATGATCCATCACATAACCTTCACTAGGAGGGTACTCCCTGCACACCTGGGATGGAAGCCCAAGTGTGCTACCTACCTTCTGAGTGATCTTAAACAAGTCACTGAACCTCTCTGTGCCTCTGTGACCTCATAAGTGAAAAGAGGACTATCAGAGGTATATCTGATACAGTTGTTAGGACTTAGTAACACACATGGGTAATGGCAAAGGAGAGGGAACAGATATTAAGATCCTAGTTGGTGTCAAACATTCTTTGGGTTGTTACACACTTGATCTCTTCAAATTCTCTGAACAACTTCATAGGTTATAAATAATTGATCTCATCTTAAGTTGAAGACCAGGGGTGCTCAGAGTTGGAGTAGTTTTCCCCAGAGAACAGGGCGCACATCTGTCTGAGTCAGTGGGCCATTATCTTTCCAGGACACCATACTGTCTCCTTCTCTTTCAACCTGGGGAAGAGTCCCCGGGCTGGAGCTCTGGGTTGGGCTCTACCCCGAATCACAGATGACAATGGGAAAATAGGGAGAACAGGTAAGAAAAAGGCTGTCTTCAGTAAAAAAAAAAAAAAAGAAGAAGAAGAATCTCCTCTGCCTGGCAGAGACAACATTCACCAGCAAACTCCACTGAAACTAGTGGAGGCGGGGCGTCCCACAAGCCTGGCTGGGGTCTAAGACTTACATGCCATGGTCAGGAAGTAATCCCCACAGGGACCATCTTGGTGAGTCCCGCATTTGGAACGTGCGAGACAGGCAGCAATCCATGGAAATAAGTCCCTGAGGGTCTGAGCTAAGAGTACCAAGCTTGTGCTTCCAAGCAAAGAACACCTTGTTCTGCCTGGGAAGATGATCCTGCACCATGACCTGGGCAAGCAGTGATGAAAATCTGGGCATAAACCCCAAGCCCCATGCACCCTGAGTCTTTCTCCTGTGTTTGTTCAGGCAACTTAAATGTTACTCTCAGATAACAGAAATTTTGGAAATATGCCAAACTCTTTAAGAAATAAATAAAATTCCCTTTGTGCCTCTGAATGTGAAAACACAATGTGAATATTTTGCCATATGTCCATACAATATTATTTCCTTTATCACAAGTTCACATTAATAAATGCTATCGTAGTTGACATGATGTATATGATATTCTGCTTTTTTACTGTGGAATTTGCACCCTCACCACTGTCCCTCACTGTCGCTCCTAGAAGGTGAGGCCCAGAACCGTCAGGAGATTCAGGAGCTGCTCCCCAGATAAACCTCTTTCAAAAGGCTAACCCCGTGCCTGCCTTCAACTCAGGCAGAAGCCTCAGCTAGCTGCTTAGCTTCTCTACCCTTCTCACCCCAGGACCTTAGTGTGGGCCACAGACAGGACTTGGACACCTGGACCACCTATCCCTCCTACAGGTAGAGGGGGATGTACTGGCCAACCGGCTCTTTCCTCCCTACCAACATAGCTGAGCCCTGAGAAAGGTTCCCAGCCCTCCCTGAGGCCTCTCCTGGGGACCAGAGCCTGCACTGCCTCCCCCACATCTGGCTTCTATCCAAGGCCCTTCCATTCCTTGCTGGTCTTTCCTAGTCAGGGTTGGAGGACACCCTGTTCTGTCCTGTCCTGCTCCTGTTCCGCCCAGAGGCACAGCATTTACCCATCCCCTCTCTCTACAGAAGGAGAGCAAGATAATGGATTTGAGGCCAAATTAGGCTCCTTTGTAGTCTACCCAAAGTTGTGTTTACTTTGCCCCTGCGGGAGGACAGTGCAAGGGCATGGGATGCAAGGGAAAATAAGATAAACGCAAAAATTCCCCCAGAGAAAGTTTCCTGCATTCAGCAATACCCTCTTCAGCTACTTCTGCCGACCTCAAACAAGCACTACCCCGGCCCTGCTCAGCAGTGAGGAGACCTGAGGGTGGAACCATCTGGTCCCGGGTGAGTCGGTGAGAAGACAGACACTTCCTTTATTATGGGGTTCCAGCAGACCCTCCGTACAGGCAGGAGAAAGGAGTGTGTGATGGGAGTGCAGTCCCATTTCTTCTCCAAGACAGTTTCTTCTCCACAACGTCTAACCTGCCTCAATCCCAGGCCTGCAGGGAAAACGGGGTCAGGCCAACTAGTTCTCCTGACACTTAGCCCTGCCTCAGACCCAAGGTCCCTCTAGCAGCCTGGATCAACCTCAGAACATCGCCCAGTGTGCCTAGATCTCACCTCAGAAACCCTTGACCTCCCCCTCCTCCCCATCCCCAACCCAAATCAGCCTCTGACCTAGCCTCATTTACCCTCCTTTCACTGCCCTCCAAACTTTCTAGCTTTGGACAGGCTTGAAGGTACCATTTTACAAATGGGTAATACAAAACAGTTGGGCCTAGAAGAAATATAGCCCAATGTCTTTATTTTATGCATAAGAAACAGTGCTGAATTAAAATTTCACCACAACGTAAAAGCAGAGGGAGATTTTGATCCATGTCCTCTCAGTTATCAGGTCAGGGATCATCTCTGACAAGTGAGAGAAACAAGGAATATGAATTTGGGGTCATATACAGATTCCAAGTCGCCACTTTTCTTTAGTTAAACTCCTACCACATGCCCAGCTTAGGAGCTTAACACATTTAACATAGTTGAAAAGGAGATCAGTTATGGGAAGGCCAGGAATAACAACAACTAACTTCTTCACAAGGACTCCTCCTAAAGTTTCTCCTTGCCCCCTCTCCCGAGGCTTTTCCTAGACTGAGTCACCAGAATCTCAGTTTCCAAGGGGAAGAGGGCTTTGCCTGGAGGCCATTCCCTGAAGCCCGGGTTCCATCACCCCAGCTACTGCCTTCTAGTCCCTAGCTCTGAGAGTAGCCCACCACATTTAGAAGTGATGAATATAGGATGGGAGGCTCCTGCAAGCCATCCTCAAAAGCAGTTCTTGACCAATTTCCATGACTGCAGTCACAGGAGATGCTCATCACATGCCCTTCCTACCACCCACTGCTGGGACGTTGACAGGTCAGGCTGGAGAAGAGAGACTGGAAGTTATACTTCCCCCTAGCTGTAACTTCTGCCCATTGTCACCCACCCAAGAAAACCCATGTGTAACACTCATGAGTGTAATAAGACTGACCTTAGGTTCACACAAATTTGTTATAAAGTTATACTGGGAAAAGGTGGACCCACCACTGTGCAACATAACTCTGTGGGATTCATTATTTCTATTTCCCCAAGCAAAAGTGAACTGAATGCTCTGTCATGTGTGCTCCCCAATGCCAAAGCACAAGGATATAACAGAGGTAAGATAATGGAAGATTTTGGTGTTTGGGATTCTCAGGAGCCACAGAGACCTCCTAGCCAGAGTAGGTGTCAGGTATTTCAGCCAGCAGAGATTACGCTCAGAGTTCACCCGTCCAAAGAGAGCAACAGGCCAGGGGCTGCACTGAGGCTCTGGCATGGCAAGGAGTAGAGGTAGCTGCAGGAGTAATCTGCTAAAGGTTAACTGTCACTAAGTCTTAGATTTGTCTTGTGTGTTCAAGTGGGCAGGAAGATCAAGAGCAGTGTCTTCTAGAATGGCCTTTGAAGTCAGGGACTCCAGTTCAGAACAGACTGGTTTCTCTCAGATGAGTGAGCAGCAAGAAAATTAACTGAGCTCTGATTCACTGAAACAGGGTGAGATCTGGAGCTCTTCAACCCAGAGTAACCAGACTGAAGAAATATCCAAAGGATTGAGTAGATCCCTAACAGGAACTCTACTGATGTGTTCTGGAGATGCTCTCCTTGTATCTCGCCCCCCATCTCCAGACCTCCCCTCTCTTTGGAATTTTCTGGGAATCTCCAAGTGTGGCTCTAGATGCCAAACTCCTAGGCACAATTAGTTTTCTTCCAGAAGAAGGCATAAAAGTGTTGGTTCGGGATTGTTAGAAATGATTCTATTCCCAGACCAAGCCCAGAGTCAGGCATAGTTTCCAGAATTTTGAATGCTGAGTCAATTCTTCCTCTCCCCTTTTGCTTTCTCAAAGGCCTGACCCTGAGTTCTGTCATGTCTCCCTATCTTGGAAAAGACAAAAATCCAACTCTTCAGCTCTTCCCACAATGAGTGATTGAAATACGGTGTCCAAGTCAGAGGATGACTGATCACAAAGGGGCACAATTCTTAAGTGCTGTGGTTATGGTCTCTGTAATAGCATCTTCTGTCTGCTCCCTCTCCTGGGGCCTCACTTCATAATATTGCAACCTCTTTTTTGCCTCCCTGACTGTACTTTCCTGACCTTTTCTGCTTGACACGGCCTTTTTTCTCTAATGGATAATATGCCTCTTCCCACTGAAACCAGGGTGCAGCAAGGGTTAACTTAATGATGGCTTCTTCTCCTCTGCTTGCCTGGCAGCTAAAGGGGAGGACTTTTGGACCACAAATTGCTCTTGTTATTACAAACATGTTCTATCCTAGGTCACAAGACTATTTAAGATTCAAAATGGCTTACTCTTTGGACAGCCAAGTTCCACAAATTTGAGGCAGCTGTCTTTGAAGGTTTTGGTTGCATAACAAAGGTAAGATGGTTTGATAACCATTGTGCTGTTGAGTCACAAATTTTTAAGTACCTGGAAGAGCAGGTCCTATACCTATCTTTCTGATTTGCAATGTGAGAATGATGAGCCATCTTGCTGCCTCCCTTCTTTCAAAGAGAATAGTGAATATCCAGCCTTAAAATGGGGTTTGAAAAATGACAGTTTCAGAATTTCAGGCAGGTCTTTGTGCAGCCATTGGTTGGCAATCAAGCACCAGAGACTCTATTGCTTGGAAAAGATAGGATCCATGGCCCCATTTTTCTGTACCTCTGAGGCCACTGAACACGGTTTGGAAGGAGAATAAAAAAAGCAGGGCTTTCGATCATTCTGCACAATAAGGTGAAATGCTGTTCTTACAGTTGGCATAAGTTTGTGCAGATATTTAGAGAAATGTTTCCCTTCCTAATTATGATCTAAACTGACTGTGTTGTCGCTGAGAATCAATTTTTTGGAGAGTGGTAAGCTTGTGTGTGTGTGTGTGTGTGTGTATTCAGGTGTATGCATACCATTATTTTCCTGTTGAGTGACCAAGAAGATTGAGGAGGATATATATACCTCATGCTGATGAGTGATCTTAAAGGGGAGGGGGTTTGACCTAGCAACACCATCCAGGACTGTTTGGTGGGCGCAAACACCCAAACCCCTTTTGAATGGTATGCCAGTGGTGAAGACCTTTGGACCACAGATTGTTCCTATTGTTCTCCTCTAGATTATAGAGCATCTTTTCCTTAAATACAATCTCTATGCCTGCTTGAATAATTCACTTTGGGGGAAATGGTCTGTGGACTTTTATATGTCAGAATACACACTAGTGGGGAGAAAATGAGTCTATTCCTGAAAGCAGGAAGCAGGGCACCTGAGGGTACCTTTTCTAAAGGATAGTGTTGATTTACACTATGGAGGATTTAAGACAGAGGCATGAACTTGAGGACAGACAACCCTAGGCAGAAACTGTGTTGTGCCCATGAGGACAGCACCCGTCATACATTTTCTTTTGTTTTGTGTTCGTTTTACATCCCTTGAACCACGGGAATAGGCATATTTTGTGTATAGTTTAAAATTTTTGTTTCTCTTATTAATTGAATCATTCTCAAACTCTGTAAACATCCACACAACCCTTTATTGTGGTATTACTAGGAATAAACAAATGGGGCAGTAGAAGTGTGGCCCTCCCACTTTTCCTCCACTGAGCCCTGAACATGACAGCAGCATCTTATCAGTTGAGCATGGCACTTCAGATCACCTGGCTTCAAATCCCAGATCTGCCTCTTACTAATGATGTGATGATGCCCAAGTTGGTTAACTTCTGCCTTCCTTTCCTGATAAGAGAAACAGTTATAGTACATACTCAGACTAATAATTTTAAAAAATAATTATACTAACCTCAAAGGATTTTGTGACAATGAAATGTGATGATGCATGTAGTTTAGAATACTGTCTACTACAAGAAAATGTTCATCAGATGCTTATGAGTATAATTAGTATATTGAAAGCCATAGCCACAGAATTCCAGGAAGTACCCAAGATCCAATTGAACAAAGGTTCTGATGGAGTGAAAACTAACATGGAGCATCAACTACCGCATTTAACTGGCATGGAAGTGAATATAATGCAAATCCTCTTTACTCTCAAATAAACTTACAAGAGAAGCCCTCTAAAGAGGGGTTTCCAAGAAGCACAGACACAGAACCTGGAGAGGAGTTGTTTGAATTGCTCCTGGATCAAGCCATTGACGTGTTGAAGGTGTTCAGAGGGGCAGTGAGGCAGCCAGGAGTGAGGCGGAGCCTCTGAGACCTGGATTAGACACTGTCTGTGATTTCAGAGCAGCTGTTGACAACCGTTTAATAGCCCTGGAATAATATTTGGCCTTATACACAGTAGCAGAGATTAACGTGTTTAATTTCTGACCGCCTATCAGACAGAGAAAAAAAATTCTTTGCCTAATTCTTATATCAGACCAAGTGGATTTCAAAATAAGACAGGTAAAGAGAGACACAGAGGGACAATATATAATGATCAAAGGGACACTTCATCAAGAAGAAATAACGCTTATAAATATCTATGCACCCAACACAGGAGCACCAAGATTCATAAAGCAACTATTAACAGACCTAAAGGAAGATGTTAAAAACAACACAATAATAGTAGGGGACTTCAACACCCTACTCACATCAATTGACAGATCATCCAGACAGAAAATCAACAAGGATATAGTGGAACTAAATGAAAAACTAAAACAATTGGACTTAATAGACATATATAGATCACTTCACCCTAAAAGAGCTGACTACACATTCTTCTCAAGTGCACATGGAACATTCTCAAGGATAGACCATATGTTGGGAAACAAGGCAAGCCTCTACAAATTTAAAAAAAATTGAAATAATAACAAGCATCTTCTCCAATCATAGTGCTATAAGGCTAGAAATTAATTACAAGAAAAAAGCTGAGAAAGGCACAAAGATGTGGAGACTAAACAACACACTACTGAACAAGCAATGGATCATTGAAGAAATTAAAGAAGAAATCAAAAAATACCTGGAAACAAATGAAAATGATAGCATGCCATACCAACTCATATGGGATGCAGCAAAAGCTGTATTAAGAGGAAAATTCATTACAATACAGGCACATCTTAACAGACAAGAAAAATCCCAAATAAGCAACCTTAAAGTACACCTAACTGAACTAGAGAAAAAAAAACAAATAAAGCCCAAAGTCAGAAGAAGGAGGGAAATAATAAAAATCAGAGCAGAAATAAATACTATTCAAATGAAAAAGGCAGTAGAAAGGATCAATGAAACAAAGAGCTGGTTTTTTGAGAAGATAAATAAAATTGACAAACCACTAGCCAGTCTTACAAAGAAAAAAGGGGAGAAAGCTCAAATAAACAAAATCAGAAATGAGCGAGGAGAAATAACAACAGACTCTGCAGAAATACAATAGATTATAAGAGAATACTACAAAAAACTATATGCTAACAGAATGGATAACCTAGAGGAAATGTATAAATTCTTGGACTCCTACAATCTCCCAAAGCTCACTCAAGAAGAGGCAGACAATTTGAACAGACCAATCACAAGGAAAGAGATGGAAACAGCCATCAAAAACATCCCAAAGAATAAAACCCCAGGACCAGATGGCTTTCCTGGGGAACTCTACCAAACTTTCAGAGAGGATTTAATACCTATCCTTTTCAAGCTATTCCAAAAAATTAGGGAAGATGGAACACTTCCTAACACATTCTATGAGGCCAACATCACACTGATACCAAAACCAGACAAGGACACCATGAAAAAAGAGAACTACAGGCCAATATCACTGATGAACATAGATGCAAAAAATCTAAACAAAATCTTGGCAATCAGAATTCAGCAATTCATCAAAAGGATCATACATCATGATCAGGTGGGATTCATACCAGGGACACAGGGATGGTTCAACATCTGCAAACCAATCAACGTGATACACCACATCAACAAACTGAGGAATAAACACCACATGATCACCTCAATAGATGCAGAGAAGGCATTTGACAAGATCCAACAGTCATTTATGATAAAAACTCTGAACAAAATGGGCATAGAAGGAAACTACCTCAACATAATAAAGGCCATATATGACAAACCCATAGCCAACATCATACTCAATGGGCAAAAACTGAACGCCATCCCCCTGAAAACAGGAACGAGACAAGGATGCCCTCTATCACCACTCTTATTTAACATAGTACTGGAGGTCCTGGCCAGAGCAATCAGGCAAGAGAAAGGAATAAAAGGAATCCAAATAGGGAGGGAAGAAGTGAAACTCTCGCTGTTTGCAGACGACATGATCTTATATATAGAAAACCGCAAAGAATCCATTGGAAAACTCTTAGAAGTAATCAACAGCTACAGCAAAGTTGCAGGGTATAAAATCAATTTGCATAAATCAGTAGCATTTCCATACTCCAATAATGAACTAATAGTAAAAGAACTCAAGAACACAATACCATTCACAATCACAACAAAAAGAATAAAATACCTTGGAGTAAATTTAACTAAGGAAGTGAAGGATTTATATAATGAAAATTACAAGGCCTTTCTGAGAGAATTGGATGACGACATAAGGAGATGGAAAGACATTCCATGTACATGGATTGGAAGAATAAACATAGTTAAAATGTCCGTTCTACCTAAAGCAATCTACAGATTCAACGTCATCCCAATCAGAATCCCAATGACATTCTTTACAGAATTAGAACAAAGAATCCTAAAATTCATATGGGGCAACAAAAGACCCCGAATTTCTAAAGCAATCCTGAGAAAAAAGAACAAAACGGGAGGCATCACAATCCCTGACTTCAAAACATACTACAAAGCTACAGTAATCAAAACAGCATGATACTGGTACAAAAACAGGTGCACAGGTCAATGGAACAGAATTGAAAGCCCAGAAATAAAACCACACATCTATGGACAGCTTATCTTTGACGAAGGAGCTGAGGGCATACAATGGAGGAAAGAAAGTCTTTTCAACAAATGGTGCTGGGAAAACTGGGAAGCCACATGTAAAAGAATGAAAATTGACCATTCTTTTTCACCATTCACCAAAATAAACTCAAAATGGATCAAAGACCTAAAGGTGAGACCTGAAACCATAAGGCTTCTGGAAGAAAACGTAGGCAGTACACTCTTTGACATCAGTATTAAAAGGATCTTTTCAGACACCATGCCTTCTCAGAGAAGGGAAACAATAGAAAGAATAAACAAATGGGACTTCATCAGACTAAAGAGCTTCTTCAAGGCAAATGAAAACAGGACTGAAACAAAAAAACAACCCACTAACTGGGAAAAAATATTTGCAAGTCATATATCTGACAAAGGCTTAATATCCTTAATATATAAAGAACTCTCGCAACTCAACAACAAAACATCAAACAACCTAATCAAAAAATGGGCTGGAGACATGAACAGACATTTCTCCAAAGAAGATATACTGATGGCCAATAGGCACATGAAAAGATGCTCATCATCGCTGATCATCAGGGAAATGCAAATCAAAACTACACTAAGATATCACCTTACACCCGTTAGAATGACAAAAATATATAAAACTAATAGTAACAAACGTTGGAGAGGTTGTGGAGAAAAAGGAACCCTCATACACTGCTGGTGGGAATGCAAACTGGTGCAGCCACTATGGAAAATAGTATGGAGATTCCTCAAAAAATTAAAAATAGAACTACCATACGATCCACCCATCCTACTACTGGGTATTTATCCAAAGAGCTTGAAGTCAGCAATCCCAAAAGTCCTATGCACCCCAATGTTCATTGCAGCATTATTTACAATAGCCAAGACATGGAAGCAACCTAAGTGCCCATCAACAGACGAATGGATAAAGAAGATGTGGTACATATATACAATGGAATACTACTCAGCTGTAAAACAGAACAAAATCATTCCATTTGCAATAACATGGATGGACCTTGAGGGAATTATGTTAAGTGAAATAAGCCAGTTAGAGAAGGATAATCTCTGTATGACTCCACTCATATGAGGAATTTAAAATTATGGACTAAGAACAGTTTAGTGGATACCAGGGGAAAGGTGGGGTGGGCACAAAGGGTCAAGTGGTGCACCTACAACACGAATGACAAACATTAATGTACAACTGAAATTTCACAAGATTGTAACCTATCATTAACTCAATAAAAAAAAAATTCTTTGCCAAGTTATTGAGGTTAGAGAAATGGTTACATAGGCAGAGGAAAGGGGGCCGCATAACACAGCACTGGAGAAGGTGCTGGCTGATGATTTGCACAGTAAAACATCATTACTGAAATTTAGATTTTTGAAGAAGAGCTCTGATAATCTCTCACTGTTAAGAAACATTTCACTGTAATGGGGGAGAATACATAAGGCTTGGAGGTGACATCCTAGGCTCAAGCTTAGCTTTCTTAATAGGGGCTAAGGTACAGAGTTATTGGCCTAGCAACCAAGGTCCTGCACACAGGTCCTGAGGCTTCTGAGATGGTGGAAAAGTATAAAAAAAGAATAAAATTTATTTTACTTTTTACTTGTGGCCCCTGCAGCAGCCAGCTTCATTGTCCGAGGGTGAACTGAGATTTGTTTCACAAGGAGAGTTAAAAAATGTCAGAAGATAATATTCAAAGATTGACATTCAAAATCAGATTACAGAAAAGACAATAGCCTTGGAAGCCAGATAATTGTTTTGGAAAAAAAAGAAAAGGGATTTGCAACTCTCTTTAGCTTTTCCTTTAATGAGTCAACAACTAGAACTGGGGAACTCAGAGAAAATTCTTTCATGGTATAGAGTGAATGCCCCACAAGACTGTGATGTCCAGGTCGACTCATTGTAGAACTATGTGTGTGATTCAGAGGAAGGAAAAATAAATGCCCTCCACTATTTAGCTCTAGGAGAAAGTCAAAGTGGGCAGGGGACAGAACAAACATCTCATTTGCCCCTGTTGGGCTCTGGGAGTGGGAATTTGACAGCTTGGCAGAGGGAAATCTTGCCCTATTCCCTGACCGGGACTTTGGAAGGCGGTCCCCTCACACATGTCCTCTGTGAGTCTGAGGTAGAGGTTTCTCGTGGTGACCATGTTGGTAAAGCACAGGCAGCAAAAGGAGACCTCAAGGATAGCTTTCCTAAAGCCACCTTTGTGCGTGTACGGGGTGGACACTGAGTTAAAGGTCAGTGGGCATGCCTTAAGGCCTGCTGTGGTACGCCAAGGGGCTCCAAAGGCACAGATTGTGGTAGGATTTGCAAGAGGGATGGGGGAGAAACTGCTGAGCCACTGGGCTGAATGGAGGACCCAGCCAGCCAGGGCTAAGAGGAGGTCCATTCAGCAAAGGAAAATGGCCCATGTTTCCTGGGAATGTTGCCTGAGGCGAAAATAAAACCCAGATTACAAATTCACGAGACACAGAGCCAGGGCACCACAGTGTGGTCTGTACACAGGACAAATCTGGGGGTTCCATGACTAAGAAAGGAGAAGTCCCAAGCACTGGTTTTTGGGGGGTTTTTTAGCTTAGTGACTGAAAACAGAGGTCAATACTGTTTACACATTTTGCTACCAGATGTGCTTTGTTAGGCCTGCATGGCACAGTGATTTTTTAAAAAAATTATGCAACATTAAATACCAGAAGAATTCACATAAATATGTAGATTTGTGGATATTTTTGAACCCACATTAAAAACTACTTTGTGGTATTTTTAATCATCAAAGGATTTGTCAGGACTGAACCTGAACGACCACATGGCTGTGATCACCAGAGCTCAACACTGCCGGCCTTTCAGACAGTCAGGGGTCATCCAGTTTCTCACAGCCTCTAGTGCTCCATATTTTCTCCCAGACACAACTAACTTAACTTAATTCACATTATATCTTGGCGTTTGCGTTTGAGGCCCTGATCTAAGAGACTTTGTAAACACGTATAGCAGAAAGGAGCACAGTGAGGGTGGAAGACACAAAAGTGAGTTTTTGAGGCAAACTTCCTGGCTTCAACTCTAACTCCTCCCTCAGTGGATGTGTGGCCTCTGTGCTCCAATTTCTTCATCAATAAAATAGAGAGAATAATAGTATTTTAGGACTGTGATAAGAATTAAGTAATATCTCTGAAAAGCTTGCTACAGAGCCTGGAACGTCAGAAATTCTCCGGAGACGTTAGCTGTTCTTCTTAATGATATTATTTCCATACTCACATCTACACACACGTAATCTGAATATATTTGGTTACCTCATTCTTTTCCCTGTCACTCATGACACCTTAGCAACGGTGCTATAGCCCCTGGAAACACTAAGTTTTCAGTATTTTGTGGCAAGAACCAAAGGCAGAAACCTGGCCCTATTGCCTGCCTCAGGATGTTAGCTGAGGCCCCAAGGAACTCTACTGGAACAACAGGTGCTCCCCATCCAAGACTCAACCCAGACCTAAGTGCCATGGACCGTCCTTCTTTCTCTAGATGAGAATCTACTTCCTTAACAAAATCCCATATGTCTTGACTTGTGAGTTTATAAGCTGTCTTTCAAACCCCACTCTTCCTCCCCCTTTCTGACATAGGTTTGGGGGCCTGATAAACCTGGTCAATACATACCGATGTGCATACACGTGACTGATTATGTCCAATCTCACACAGCAAGTCACTTCCAGGATGTCAGTAACTTCCCTCTTACAGCCATCAACCTGTATTCCATCACACCATTTGGCTGGCAGTTTTGCAATCAATGTGTGAATATTAATTAGGATTCTATTGTTTCCAAGTATCACTAATAGGAATCAAACAAGCTTAAACAAAAGGGAGAATTTATTCTAAGAACACTCTGGTGTCTCATGGTGCACAATTAGAGAAACACAGCAACAAACTTTAACACAAACACCCAAACACCCCCTATCTTCTCTTTTCGTGAATATACATTTTTCTTTTCTCTGGCTTTAGATGAGCTCTCTCTGCCCCTTCATCTGCCTTTTGAAAAATGGCCATCATCAAGAGCTCCTGTTTATATCTCCTTAGCCCTAGAAAGCAGCCAGCCCACTCTGGAATATAGTCCTATTTTGAATTCCTTGGCAAGGATACTGAACAACTCAGCTTGAGTCAGTTGCCCACTCTGTACAGCTCTGCTGGGCCCCAGACTGTCTCTATCCTTCCCTCCTCCTCCCCAACTCCAGGCACAGGAGATTCCTGCCCATGGCCACTGCTGTTAAGCACTGCAGGTACTATTTCTGGCCATGGCTATCCATGATGCACCACTGGATACTGAGGTGTCCCTTACAGCTCGGCCCCACATAGCTGCCATCCAGTGGTGTTCCCCCTGACTCCTCGGACCATCAGACTTTATCTAGAATCTGTAGTGGAGATCCCTTTGTGCAAACCATGGTAGAAAGTGTGTCTTTTTTGCACAAGTGTTTGCTCCCAGGACATTGCAAGATCATACTAGCTCAGAAGAAGTGTGAAATCTTCATCTGTTCTCCCTCCCTGGAGTAAAGACTATGAAGAACTGCACTGATTTCGAAAAACCAATACCCATAGGGAGCTGCTGGTGACTAACATGTATTGTCATTTGATATTGGATAGTGCAAACTTTGGTAAAATTTTGTTAAACATCACAGCCTGGTCTCAGCTATGAAAGAAAAACCAATAGAACAGTGTTGCTCAAAGTATCCCCAACCACACAGTTTTAAAAAATTAAAATTCCTGAACCCTGAGTAGTATTTCCATGATCTGTAGGATGGTACTTGAGGTCATTGTAATTTGGATACTTCTTGTCATAATCCTAGTGAGCTCTCTAGCCATCTGGAGCACATCTATAAAAATAGCACTTCCTCTTATAACAGGAACGCATTCATAAGGGGGAGATGAAGGGAGGACTTATATCTCACAGTTGAGTGTCCCTGAATACCCCCATGAAATATGACCTGATATGAATGCTACTCATCATTATGTTTTACAAAGGATAAAATGATTGCAGGGCCAGTCCCATGGCCTAGTGGTTAAGTTCAGCGTGCTCCACTTTGGTGGCCCAGGTTTGGTCCCTGGGTGCAGACCTACACCACCCATCAGTTGCCATGATGTGGCAGCGACCCACATACATAACGGAGGAAGACTGGAAACAGATGTTAGTTCAGGGCAAATTTTCCTCAGCAAAAAAATAAATAAATAAATAAAGATTGCAGACTATTGATTTAAAACATCCCATGTTGGCTCCTGAGCATCTTGGTTGCTTGGATTGTCTTATTATCTTTTTTACTCCCAGAACCAACATAGCACCTCATACAAGGTTGAAGGATTTGTTGAATAAATGAATGAGAGGCTCACATAGCACAAAGTGAGATGTGCACTAATCTCCTTGTAGTATGGCATTCTATCTCATAAAATCTGCCACTCACTGCTCAAAATGGGATTTCTGGCATTGCTCTCATTTGACTATGTGTGGGAGTGCAGAAGACTTGATGTTAGTGGCTGACTGCTTAATAATTGAATACAGTTTTAATAATGTAGAGAATATCATGGACTTGGAAAGTACATTTTTGAACGGTTTTGAAACGAAAAAGAAAAGCCTTCATATATGAAAAACATTCATATAAAATGTTCAAGTTTAAACAGTAGTGGCGAAGGCAACAAGGAAAAGCCATAGAATGGAAACTAGCAACAAGGTTCTACCACTTCTTGCTGAGTTCCCTAAGCCTTCCTCTTCCAGGTCCCATACCACAAGACCCCATGACTCCTAGCTGATTAGATCGAGCAGGCCCTTGACCTAAGTGTAGACAAATCCATCAGGTAGTGACCAAAGCTCCAGGGAGCTGGCAGGAAACAGCTGAGCTTTTCCTGTCTCCTGGGAATGTGGAGCTAGAAAGATTAAGCCGGATAAGAGTTGAGATAAATGTCACAAGCCAGAATAAGGCAAATCAAAACAAAAAGCAAATGAAGCTATCATGGCACAGAAAATTCACAAAACAGATTAGGAAGAAAAGCAAGAAAAGAGCAAATTAAGAAAGCAGTCGGACTCGGTCTGACTCTGCTCAACGAGATATCGCATGCTTGAAGCCAGGTTTCTTGGGACCATTGAAAACCACGTTCAGAAACTAACCATGCAGCATCGTTATTTCCCAACCATATTCTATTTCTTATTTTTAAACATGTTTAAACTTCTATTTAATTTTTTGATTATAAAATCATGGATAGCTGTTCTAAATTTTAAATAATACAGGAAGGTAAAAAGAAGTTGATGTTCTTGCCCACTCCCCATGCCCCCACAAATCACATATTTTAAGATAACCAATTTACAGTGTGATTACACAGTTAAGATTAAGGTCCTAAGTGAAAACGCTGACAGCTGGATCAGAAAGCCTCCTCCGCCAGCAGCCTGGAGACCCTGCAGCAGCCCCGGTCCCTCTGCAGCGCTTTCTCTCACGCACACCCAGCTCTGGACAGCGTGGTGACCCCCGCAGGACGAGGCTGCTCTTCTTGCTGGCTCATTTCAACAGAGGAGCAGAGGCACTGCCTCAAGGCTTTCGTTCACTCAGCACTTGTTCACTAAGCCCCTCCAGGTACCAGGCACTGCCCTGGGAGCTGGGAAAACAATGACAAATAGGATAGTCACGGTTCCTACACTTGTCAAATGTATAGGCAAGTAATCAAGTAAAAGAATAATTATAAAGTGTGAGGTGTGCTATGAACAAACCAAAGAGGGTCCTGGGGTATAAAATATAAAATGACAAGGTGGTCAGAGAAGAGCTCTGAAGATGGCGACATGAAGAGAAAGAAGGATGAACATTTGTAAAGTGTGGAACGGCAGTTGAGAAGGGTTTGCAAAAGTCCAAAGGCACATAGAAAAAGGCATGTTTATTCAAGGAATAAAGAAAGAAGAGTAGGGCTGCAGCTTCATGAGGAAAAAAGGAGAAAGTGATTTATTTTCACTGCTGTGGGGAGAAGAGTTGAGAGAAGCAGTGAGAACACTGAGGAGGAGCTGGGGGCAGCAGTCCAGGCTCGAGATCACAGGGACTGCTATTAGAGTTGTGGCAGTAAAGATGGAGAAAAACTGAAGCATCTGAGATCTATTTTGGGTGGACAATTAGTGATCTACTAGGATGGCGAAAGGGCTGGATATCAAAGACTCCCAGGTGTGCGTATGTGCAACTGGGTGGAAGTGTCATTACTCACATGGGGAAACCTCACTGAGGAGTTTGAGAAGTGTGGCATGAAGAAGGGAGATAATTCAACTGAGTACATGTTATTGAGAGTTAAGGGAGAGACTCAAGTAAAAATGGCAAGTAGTCATTAGTTATGTGACTATGTAGCTCAGGAGGTAAGACTGGGATATAAAATCAAAATGGCGGAGGGTGGGCGGAGGTGGCAGGGTTGATGGTTAATCTTATGTATCAACTTGACTGGGCTAAGGGGTGCCCAGATAGCTGATAAAACAGTATTTCTGGGTATGACTGTCTGTGAGTGTGTTTCCAGAAGAGATTAGCATTTGAATCAGTAGATGAGTAAAGAGGATCACCTTCACCAACAAGAGTGGGCATCATCCAATCCACTGGAGGCCTGAAAAAGCAAAAATGCGGAAGAACGGCAAATTTGCTCTTTGCTTGAGCCAGGACAGCCATCGATGATCCTGGTTCTCGGGCCTTTGGTCTCAGATTGAATGACACCACTGGCTTTCCTGGGTCTCCAGCTTGCAGACAGCAGACTCTGGGACTTCTCAGCCTGCATAATTGCATGATCCAACTCCTATAATAAATATACACATACATACATAAATAAGTATACGACTCTCCTATTGGATCTGTTTCTCTGACTAACACAGATTTGGGTACCGAGAGCGGTTCTAGAGGAATAGAATTTTAAAGATGCATTTTCTGAATCATTTCTGGAGTCTCTGAAATTGGCTCTCTAATCTGATTAGATTTAAAGACATTAATGACCACCTCTACTTCTGGTCATGAAGACAGCACTGACAGTCCAGGCCATGATCCAGCAATAAGACAGGTAAACTATCTCCACTGGACACTCCTAATCAACCACTTATAAGAAACAAGAATAGGGTGACTATACATAGATACTTTCAAACATTTTTGGTATATTGGATATATTATATCAAATATAATAAAATTGGCTGGTTGTCCCCATTGTCACCAGACAATGTAGTGAAAGAAAAGGATGAGTTCCAGGATTCCAATTTCCAGCTCAAGGGTCACATAAATGACTAGAGGCTTCCATGTGTGCCCTGAAGGAGACTTTTATCTCCTGTAGCCATAGGGCTGAAACTGCTGAAAATCAGACACAGAGCCTCATTCTAGACTGGCTGAATTACAATTCAAATTGAACTCCCAGCCTCACAGGGTGTCTGCTGTTAAAGTGAGGGCACTAATTGGGAAAGAATGGGATCCTGTAAGTTGAAATGATGAAGCTGGGACATTGAGTCCCTAAATATTGAAGAGTCTTCTTTGCTGGTGGAAGCACCCTCCCCATGCCCAGTGGAAATGGTCTCTCCACCCCAGCAGAATTGACTCCCCCACCCCCAGGCAAAAGTGGCCTACCCAACTGCAGTGGCAATGGCAGTGGCCTCCCTACACCCAGGGGTAACAGCATCCCCACCCCCAGTGCTATCAGTCTTTCCACCCCCTTCTGAGGGGATTAATCCTGCATTGCCTGGGGAAACTATAATGGCCTCCTCTGAGGCAGTTGCCTTGCAAGACAATGTTTATTATCCGCAGGACCCACCCCTCCACTCCTCTTTGCTTCTAGACCTGTAACTCAAGTCCCAGCAGGCCCCTAAAGGTGAGGCACAAAGCGTGACCCATGAGGAGGTACGTTACACTCCAACAGAACTACTTGAGCTTTCTAATTCATACAAGCAGAAATCTGGGGAACCTGTATGGAAATGATTACTAAGAGTGTGGCATAATGGTGGAAAGAACACAGAGTTGGATCAGGCTGAATTTATTGATTTGGGCCCACTAACCAGAGATTCTGCCCTTTATGTTGCAATTCAGGGGTTAGAAAGCGGGTAGAGGAAGAGATTCTAAGGCTTAGGGAGACTGGGATGTTAGAGTGGACTGTCATTTAAGACCCACTCACTCACAATGGGAGGGTCCAGAAGACACAACTTTCTCCATGGCTGTGAGGAATATATTTGTGAGGGAGCCCCAGCATCCTTGAAGAGCTCTGTGACCGCTCTTCTCGGTAGGTCAGACCTTCAGTGGAAAGTGCAGCCACTCAACTGGAAAACCTAAATACAGAAGGAGAAACCGGACCCCAGGGGGCAGGGGCCAAGTGGTGGCACCCAAATGCCAAAAGCAAGGCAGGCCTGGCTACTGCAATAGACAACAGAGCCAAACCAGTGATAAGAACAGTTTGACTCATGCAGAACGAGCATGTTGGCTAGTTAATCATGGTGTTCCTAGAAGTGAAATAGATAGGAAGCCTACTAAATTCTTACCTCATCTGCATAAGCAGAAAAGTTCTACATCAAGTGAACAAACATCTCACTTGAATCATAAAAACAGAGTCACAGCCCCTCAATCACTTCATAGACTTGAGCCAGTTTACAGACCCAGAACCCCTTAAATGAAGGGGAGGCAGGGTCCCCTTGAGGTACACTGCCAAAAGTGTACATGGTAATTCTTCCACCCAGCCTTGCCCAAGGGCACCTAGGGCCTTTTACCAGGGTAACTGTACATCCGAGAAAGGGAAACAGTCAGACCTTTCAGGCCTACTGAAACTGGCTCTGAAGTGACGCTAATTCCAGGAGATCCAAAATATCACTGTGGCCCACCAGTCAGAGAAGGGGCTTATGGAGGTCAGGTGAGCAGTGGATTTTAGCTCAGGTCCATCTCACAGTGGGTCCAGTGAGTCCTGTGCTTATTTCCCCAGTTTCAGAAAGCATAATTAGAAGATACATACTCAGCAACTGGCAGAATCCCCTCATTGGCTCCCTGACTGTGGAGTGAGAGCCATTATGGTAGGAATGGCCAAATGCAAGCCATTACAACTGCCTCTACCTAGGAAAATAATAGACCAAAAGCAATACCACATTCTTGGAGAGACTGCAGAGATTAGTGCCATCATCAAGGACTTAAAGGATGCAGAGGTGCTGATTCCCACCACGTCCCCATTCAACTCTCCTATATGGCCTCTACATGCAGAAGACAGGTGGATCTGGGAGAGTAGCAATGGATTATTATAAGCTTAACCGGGTGCTGACTCCAATTGCAGCTACTGTACTAGATGTGGTTTCATTGCTTAAGTTAATTAACACAGCCCTGATACCTAGTATGTGATGTGGGGTCGGTGAGCCAAGGAGTCGAAAGAAAGATTTCTTGGACTCTCAAGATCTGGCAGTAGTGCTCTTTTATTTAGAGAATAGTGTGGAATAGCATGGGGACAGGACCCACGGGCAGTCAGAGCTGCTGCTGCCGACATGGGGACAGGACCCATGGACAGTCAGAGCTACTGCGTGGGGACAGGGCCCACGGGCAGGAGGAGCCACTGCTGCTGCCCCCGCTTCTGCTGCAAACATGGCTGGAGAGTAAGGCTAAATTTAAGGCATAGGCATGTGAGCCATCTCCCCACAAGACAAAGAAAAGAACATGCAAAAAAGTCAAAATGGTATCAGTGCAGGTGGGGTCTGGCCATTGGGTGGTCCCACAACTTTTAGATAAGAATCAAATCAGATTAAGTAAAGGCCAGAAGCCACCACCCTAAATCAGTTACATGAGGTTGCCAGACAGTAACCAACTTAAGTTCTTGCCTTCCCCATTAAGAGTTTCCAGAGATAAGGCCATCCTGCCTTCCTCCTGGTGCAGAGGGGGAGGCAAGGAGATTTCCTTCACAAATGCAAATCTCTCTCAAAGGGCAAGCAAACTCCACTCCTCGGAGCCTGCTTCTCATCTGCAGTTTTAAAATTAACCAGGCTAAAATCCTCATCAGTATGTATCTATTGATCTGGAAAATGCTTTTTTCTCCATACCTGTCTATAGGTTCACCAAACGCAATGTGATTTCAGCTGGCAAGGCCAGCAGTACATCGTTACTGTCCTACCTCACAGGTAAAGCAACTCTCTGGCCCTACGGCAATGTAGTTCGTGGGGGATCTTCATTGCCTTTCCCTTCCACAAGATATCACACTGGTCCATTACAGTGACAACATAATGCTGACTGGACCTAGAGAAGAGCAGCAGCAAGTACTCCAGACATATTGGCAAGACATTTGCTTGTCAGAGACTAGGAGTAAATCCAACAAAAATCAACAAAAATGCCTACCTTCGTGAGATTTCTAGGGGTCCAGTGGTGTGAGCATGTTGAGATCCTTTCTAAGGTAAAAGATAAGTTGTTGCGGGAGGCACCCACGACAACCAAAAAGGAGGCACAATGCCTAGTGGGTGTCTTGGATTTTGGAGGCAACACATTCCTAACGTGGATGTATTACTCTAGCCTATTGACCAGAGTGACCTAAAAATCTGCTAATTTTGAGTGGGACCCAGAACAAGAGAAGAGTCTGCAACAGGTTCAGGGTGCTGTTCGAGCTGCTCTGCCACTTGGCCCATAGGACCCAGCAGATCCATGAAGTGTCAGTGGCAGAGGGGGTGTTGTTCAAAGCCTTTGGCAGGCCCTGTAAGTGAATCACAGCACAGGCCTTTAGGATCACAGAGCAAGGCCCTGTCATCCTCCACAGGTAATGACTCTCCTTTTGAGAAACAGCTCTTGGTCTGCTACTGGGCCTCAGCAGAATCTCAGCACTTGACCATGGGCCACCAAATTACCATGAGACCTGAGCTGCCCACTATGAACTGGACGTCATCTGACCCAACAAGCCCTAGAGCTGGATGTGCACAGCAACATTCCATCATCAAGTGGAAGTGGGATACACGTGATCAGGCCCTGCAGGCACAAGTAATTTTTACACACAGGAATCTTTACACCAGTTTGAAATCAGACCACCCGGGTACAAATTCCAACTCTGCTTCTTACATCTATGGGACTTCAGGCTAGTTAATCATCGACTCTGGATCTCAGCTCCTCGTCTGTAAAATGGCTATAATAATAGTACCTTACAGTTATTAAGAGGATGAACTAAGGTAATATCAGGAAAGCATTTTGCGTCATGCTTGGTACATAAGAAGCATTCAATAAATATTAGCTGTTTTTTTTTTGTCATTGGTGGTGGTGGTGGCTAACCTATCCACTTAACAAACATTTACTGAGCACCTCCTAAGTGTCAGCCTCGTGCTAGAGACAGAAGACAGGGCCGAACCCCTCCCCAGGAGTTCCCAGTCTAGTACCTTCAAGAATCAAGATCATTCTCTGGCTTAGTTCCTGTATGATTTTGTTTCGAAGCCAAGATGGGAGCAAACAATTTGTTGAGGTCTCGCCTCCAGTTCTCTCACTCCTGCCTGGAGGGCCAGGAGACCCACTGATGAGGATGTGGGCCAGGGAGCCTGGAGCCCTGGGCTGACGACCCAGCTCTGCCGCTCCTGCCCCATAACCTGGACAGGTGCCTTAACCTCCCCGGGCCTCAGGGCCCTCCTCTGCCTGCGGCAGGCACTAAACCCACTCTAGACTTCTCTGATGATGATTACAAAAAGCCACTACTGCCTCCCAAAAGGGCCAGACCCAATTCCCATCCTCTCCCCTACCTTGTAGGAAGGGTGTTCCTTAGTCTCGTGAATGAGGCTGGGCTAAGAGAGATGCTGGGAAGATGAAAACATGATCATACTTCCAACAATAACA